TGCTGGTTGCAGTTTGCAGGATACAAACATCACCACCCACTCCTGCTCACTCAAAGTCGATTTTCCTGAATATTTCCTGTTGCATTCTAACTCTAAATTAATGAGTTAAATATGTTAAGAGGTTTGCAGGACAAATTCTAGGTCAAGCAGAGTGAAAATGTGGTTGTTGGTGTTCACTCATGTAGCTCACCCCGAAGATTTCAGGATGTTTCCAGAAGTTTTTGCAAGTGTGAAAGCACCAATAGCTTTGTTTTGAGACACAACCAGCCACTTTTTTTTACACATGAGACTTTGAAAAAGAACTGTACACTACTTTAGAAATGGACTGCTGAGCAGTGAGCAAAAAAGTTTAGAAAGTGTGGATATTGTACTGATTGTCTGGTTATGGCAGAGTAGACATAATATCAGGTATTATTAAACCGAAGAATCCAATACATTCTCCACATTTGTATCCTATAGTCAAAGCTACATCCATTACAGCAAGGGGAAAAAAATCTAAATAAGGAGAAAACAGCAAGAGCCACACAAAAAAAAGTCCAGTAGAGAAAACAAGCTGTACTGCTGTTTAGGAAAAGTGTCTGACTGGCCTGCAGCTTGTGCTGGAGGGTCCCAATGCAGCTGGAGCTGAAAGCATCAAGAAGTGACGCTGTTTGACAAGAGCAAACTGTCTGAGAGGGGCCAACATGACCAGCCATTACCACCGCAGGGGGGACGTTAAGCCTGAGGTGAAAAATGGTTGAGAGGAACACACACACGCATACCAACACGGAGTGAGCAGACAGAATGGGGGTACACTCACAAACACACACCAGCTTGCCTGTGCGGGTATACACTTACAGAAAAAGACATGCATAGACTGCAGGGAAACATTGGCAAGTTCATATCAGAGCTGCGCTGCACTGCCCTCTGCACACAGAAAGGCTGCCAACTCAGTCTGACCCATCTTTATTCAGTTATGATAATGCAGTGTCACGCAGGTACAGATTATGTTAGGGTGTCTAGAGGGGAAAGCTTCAAAAGAAGAGGAGAGCTCTCAAACGGGGAGTGTTACTGTGGACAACAGGCTGCCGGAGACTTCATCTGCTAAGATATGAAGCTGCTTAAATCTAGAAGGTAAAGCGGTTATATTAAAGGTCAATTTCTGGATCTCTTTTTTTACTGTATACATCCTGAGGACTTGAGGGTTTCTTTACCCTCAAATGAAAGACAACATACCATTGTTGACAGATAACAAAACTGTTCCTCATCCTCCTCGTCTGAGCAAAGCCATAACATGAGTGCACGTATACAGTATACATGTTAGCTGCCTGAACAGTAATGGACTAGTGAGATGTGGTAGAAGGTTTCAAGGCAGCAAATATCACAATGCTGGATTGATAATATGACAAGATCAGCAGGGTGCCACTCACTTTCAGACTAGATTCAAAGTTCCAAATTCATGTGTGAGGAATGCAATTATAACACAGCAAACCTGAGCCTGTCATTTTATCAAATAACTGTGAAAAACAAATGAATCAATGATTCATAAATTCTCCCAAAAAGTTAAGGTGCCCTGCTCCCACAAAGGCACAGAACTTATTATTTTTAGGGTATAGGCAGACATTGTTGGATTTTAAGAAAGAATGGCATCAACCAAACATAATGCAAACCGAATTAATCATTTGTCAAGCGATCAAATCTTAAAGTTAGCACGTTTTTAACATGCAAAGTAACTGAGGCGAAAGGCTTCCAGTATTTCCACTGAAACGTGATGCTTATTGCACAACACAATCTTAGTTAGGTTTGTGCAAACAAAGGGGAAAAAATTATGTTATAATAACAATAATGAGCAGCTAAAAATCAAAACACTGTCTCCTTTAAATCATCTGCAAATACTTTGGCCTCGACCAAAAAATGATGACAGCATTGCTTGAATTTGATGGTTAAACAGATTCATCTTATATCACTATGGAAACAGCGAAACACAACTTTTTTTCTGGCTAGCAGAGTGTTGTTATGTGTAGCTAATGTTAGTCCAAGGTACAAACAACATAACATAAGAATCTTTCTCTCAGCTAAGGAAGCTAACTTAAATTTTTGACGAAGGTCGAAGGTCATCCTCCTCATTACCATACATGTTGGTCATAATGTCCTCCACCATGCTAGCATACTCAGTGCTCGGTGTGCCATGTTACTTGTCTTCCAATTTCCCTCGTTTTTTGTTTATCATAATAGATGTTGCATTCCCCATGACCGACTGATTCGTTTTAAAACATCTATGAACTTGTTGTGCTTCTCTGGATCCATGTGAATCTTGTTGGCACCCCAAAACTAAAAACTGTTGGAGTAACTTATTTGCATGTTGTTGTCCCATAGTAAACAAACTTTTAATGATATCAACCCATGGGACGCAACCAGGACGCGAGGAAAGGTGAACGGATTAAATCGCTCGCGTCACTAGAACGTCAGACGTAGGCCTATACGAAAATATAAGGTTATGACGACATTCACAGAACATATTTCCTGTGTTTTTTTTTTTTAACAATTTTCTTTGTTCTTATGTCTACTGACAGGTCTGACTGTTTGTGTATTTCATGTGTCAATAAAATATTGGGGGGAAAACATTCGATCAATAAAAGTACTGAAAGTAGGCTACAGGTAAGTTACAAAAAACAACAGCTAAGGCAACTATTGTATTTTTAAACATGTAGGCTATTAAATACGCAAACAATCTACTAAAACTAAAATGCAAACAGATAATATATCACCAGAAAGCTTCTCGAATTAAAAAAATATATATTAATTTCATTATAACGGTATGAAAAATACAATTAATTAGCCTATCATTTCCTCTCATGGCATTGTAACAGGTATTAAAAATCAAACAATAAAAAAATCTTGAAAAAATTGATTGCATAAAAACATTGCATATTTTGAATATATGCCTTTGATGGTTTTATTATACCTTCACTGTGATGAAGTCTGGGGAAAAACTGTATTGGGAGTTTATAAGGGGACCCATAACTTCCTTGATAATCTGTCATTCACTTGGTCATATCGTTTTCATTATGTCACCTTCAATTAGTGTCAACACATTTATCTGCTGGGGGGTTAAACTGTGAAGAGTGCATCACTTTAGACAAATGATTGGTAACACATCTCAGGTAGCGGACAAATGTGACATAGCTGACACTTTTCTCTTTTGGGTTCTCTGTGGAAACATGTTGTGAAATGTTTTACATGCATTGTTTGAACAGCAGCAGACTTTGACAGGTTGCAAGGTCGCAAAGCATGAATAATAGAAGTGTTTCCCGTTTTTATAAACAAAAAAAGAAGGTTTAATGCTAACGAGTTGTATCATGTAGGTTGAGAAGTAACAAATTCCTGTGTTACTGTCAGCGACACAATATCCAGAACTCAGGAATAGGGAGGTTAACGTGTTTTGTTCATCATATTGTACGTGTGTGTGTGTGTGTGTTGGGGGGGAATTTCTACAAACCTTTTCCACACATGAAAAGCATCATGGGATCGGGAAATGATAATAATGTTGCTCAAGGTGGAGATGGCTGTGCAAGAATGTGCATTTTACATATGCATGTGTAAGAATACATTGAACTCACTGAATACTCATGAGTGAATATCCCCACCTCTGAATTGATTACATGTACGTATATAGGCTTATGAGCTGTATTAGCATTCAACACACACATAGACACTCTTATAAACAACAACCTCCAGCGCACACACACACACACACACACACACACACACACACACACACACACACACACACACACACACACACACACACACACACACACACACACACACACACACACACACACACACACACAAGTTCATGCGTGTGCAATACCACAATGCAAAATGTAGATTCAATGAAGGCACCTAACAGGAGGAGAGGAAAAGCAAGAGAGAGGAGTCAAGGAGGAGAAGGAGGGAGAGAAGGATGTGACATGATTTACAATGAGATCATTAACCTTGAGAAACAGAATGGCCTCACGACATAAACACTATCTCTCAGACAGACACCAGAACAATACCTTAGACAAAAGCACGCTGCACTTGTGACTGCTCAGAAAAACACAAACAAACCAATACATATAATCAAGCCCTCACACACACTCACATTATTCAAAGCGCAATTGATCCATAAATAAAAATAACAGTGGCCCAGAGTAAATTTCTGACTGACATCTGAAGGCCCAAAGAACAGACGTCACCAATCCCTCTGTCCCAGCTGTCTGAGGCACTTGCGGGTATAGCCGCTGTGAATACCTCTGAATCTACAAATACCACTTATGTATTATATTAGTGCAGGTATACTTGAAATATACATGGTCGACCTAAAGCAGGCATATGCACACACAAGATTAACCCTTTGTTCACTTCGTTTGAAGGACTCTAATGTCAAACAATATGATGTGACAAGGCTAATTAGGAGCTGCTGCTCAAAGCCACAAAACTCGAATACATAAACCATGTTGAAGAAGTTTTCATAAAAATACTTGGAAGAAATAAGGATGAGCATAAAATAAAATAATACATGATGGGAGACATTTTCGCTTATTGTTTTCAACTTTAAAAAGAACATTTATAGTTTCATTGATAATTGCATCGAGTCACAATCGTGGAGCTGAAAACTGACGCCGAAGCAGTCATGTATAGTGTAAATTGCCTTGAGTGGAAGAAAAAAGTCTGTAAGTGTCAAAAACTGCAGTTCCTTTATTGGCCACACGAGGCTAGCTCCAAAAGAGAGTCAATACTCTCAAAAGCCTTAAAATGTACAACAGAATCAAACATGTTTACTGTGTGGTTCAAAACAGCGGTACCACACAACCCAGGTTTTATTATGTGTGCTTTCGATGTTATCTTTTATGTTATTTAATTCATGTTTCTGTGTTTATCTGTGCCGCCATGACAAAGAGCAGCTAGACTTTTTTTTTTTTATGGCAATGACAATAAAGATCTCTTTGAATAAATTAAGAAACAATCCACAGCAGTTATCACACAATCCTTATTTATTTGTCAACAACCTTATATCCACTCTATAATAAATCTTTTGTATGTAAATGACATTTCAATAAAACACATGGTCAACACTCATTCAAGTCAAAATTTAAATCTCTCCTGTGACAGAACACTAAATGTACAATCATACATACATACATTACATACAAAGCAAATGAAAACAAACATTCATCAACTGGCACAAAGGCTCATGGGATACAGACAAGAAGCCCTCTGAAAAAGTGCATTATACAGCAGTCATGTTGCAATGCCTTTAAATAGAAACTCCCTTTAAACAATAAAACAGACAAATATGTCTTCCCAATATATATTTGGCAATTTATCACCCTTCTTGATCAGATATGTATAAAAGTTTATCTTCTTTAGTGTCATGTTGGAAATATAAGTTACAAAATGTTTTTAAAATAGTGGAAGACATCAATGAAACAAAACAGTGTTGCATTACTTTCAAGTCATTTTGAACAAACGACCAAAAAACAACAACCCCTCTTTGAAAAATAAAAGGTGAATTACAACTTTGAAACCTTCAAATAAACCTCCATATAAGACAACTTCAAGTATAAAAGTGATTTTTGGAGTATTTGAAGGCTGAATGCTGAATTTAAATCGTTCTGTCTGACACACTCAGATCACACATTAACAGAAAACAACCGTATTAATGAACACACTTTTGTATCTATAAAAAAAAAGTACACTCGAAAAAGAAAAAACATCATGTCTATATTTGTTTGTGTTCCTAAAACAAACATTTCTCCATCTAAAAGCGTAATGTATCTTAAGATAAAATGTAACTCATCATCCCTTCATTTATACAAATTTAATTTAAAAGAACTAAATATTTAAAGCACTGAAACATTTTATTAAATGCTCTGTTGTTTTACCCCAGAGGGTTCATGTTGGAGGAATATGTGCACCCTCACGTTTGCATGCATACAAATGTTGACCTCTTTCTTTCAGCAGCATTATCAGACATTTGTGTGAAATAAAGCCTGTTTCCTCAAAACAGTTAAAACTGAAAGATGACTTGGTGCTGCAGCCTTCACAGATATCCCAGTTCCTTGTTTTACACTTTAACATTACTGCATCACAATAAAACATCTATTAATAGACTTTAAAATTCTGTCATGTGTTAGAAATCCTCATGAACTTAGAAACAGATTGCAGAGCATGCTCTAAACACAAACAGGCATTGCCACCAATAAAGGCTAATTCTACAACAGGGTGATACCAACACACCAGCTTAAAGAGTTAGTAACATGTCATGTTTTTCTAACAGCACGTTGAAGCAAGAAAAACACTTTTAGTAATGTTAAGGTCACAATAAAATAAGGTTTACATTAGTCAAACTCAAATGTAGTTTAGGCAACTAAAACAACACAATGTGTTCAGTATGAAATTCTCTTTAACATCACTTCCCTTCTTATTACCAGTCATGTCTCAGGAGTGTAATATATATTAAACTAGATTTACTGATAAGGAACAGAAACTGTAACAACTGTCAGATATTTCACTACATACCGGTTTAGCTCTCTTTGAATATCTGTAGGTGTATCAGGCCATGGTGGATGATGTTGAATGTCAACACCCAGAATATAAATAATGACAATACTGTAGATGTTTTAGGGCTGCACAATATGAAAACTGTGATTTTTGTTCTATTCATTTTTTTTTTTTTAAGCATCATGGTTTTTCAAAATGTTTGATGCCCTTGTTATGTCAAACAAAGACATCTCTCTACAGTTCAATTAATCTAAATTATCTACAAAAATACATCTCCTGAATACTGGTAAAATTTTGAAATCACAAAATAAGACCAAACATACAGTAAAAGTGGGTTTGAACTGGATCTCTGTGCTCCACAACGTAGAGAGAAACTTAGCTCTTATTTGAGACAGACTGTACTTTAGAAGAAAAACAAAATAATAAAAAATGTGAGACTTGTCAAAAAATTGCGGTCTAAAGCAAAAATATAGTGTGCAAGGATGTAATAAAAAAATTGCCAGGTTTTCTTAGTGCCTTGTCAGGGACCAAGAAAAACCTGTTTTCACAAGCACACATAAACACAGGCAGGCAGGCACGCGCACACACACACACAAATGTGCAACAAACTTCCAGCCAGGAGTTTGATTCTCCTAATGCAACCTTCAACTAATGCATCATCAAACATTTATTAAATGGTAGTGCACATTCAATAGTGTAAAGTTGTTTTTTTCCTTCATTGTTTTCAACCTGTTGGGTTTTATTCTGCTGAGTCACACATCTTAGAGAGACATCTTTAAAATGCCACAACCTTTCACTGAGGCTGCTAACTGTCCCCCAATTCCAGCGCATGGTTACCTTGAAATTATCATCATGACCTTAAAGAGTTCAAGAGTCACTTTTCCACCTGCTCCTCCTTCAGCTCCCTGTCATGTTCAGAGGAGGTCTGTTCCATCGTAGACCACAGGCTTGTCTAGACTCAGATGATACTGCACTTTCTTTGAGATGAACCTGATTCACAGGGAAACAAAGAGGAACATTGAAAAACATATGATGCCCCTTGCTGTCACGTTTTGCAGGTCTTTGCGAAATAATAATAATATAATAATGATGTGCAAAATAATTAAAAAGATTTTAAGCAAACACACCAAACCTTCAAAGTCAAAGACCAACTGACCTGGAGAAGGAGTTATCAAAGATGAGTGTATATTCTCCGGCATTTCTGACTTTCAGTTCGCCCTGGATTGTCTCTTTGTGGGAGTGGCAGCGAGTCAGAGGGATCAAAACCTGAGGACAGAGTACAGGAATCTTGTTTAACATTCAGAACTTCAGAAAATAACTATATTTCCTGCAAGACCAAGAATACTGAGAGGAGGTAGGGATGGGAACCTGAGCATTTAATCAAGTAGAGTTCAGAATCTGCTCATTGAAACCTAATCCTCTCTTATCAAATCTCTTGACAAATTTGCATTGCTATACTTTACAGAGTACCATGAAATATCGAAAAAAAAGTTGAGATCCTAAAGCAATTAAAGAGTGGAGGGCAATAACACATTCATGAGCTCTGTCCTGCTGACTCTTTTTTCATCTGTAAAAATGTACCAGTACATTTCCTCCTCACTGGGGGACTGTGCTAGCTGCAGTTAATAAAACCAACTGAATAAATAAATAGTATTTCCACTGTGCTGTTTTTGTACTAGCTGATTAGCAGATGTTGGTACAATAAATCTGCCTGCTGTGAAAGAATGTGTCTCTGGTGATGTAGTGGGATATCAAATGGACCAGGCTATGACAAGCACCCTAAGTCAAAGTATTGTGTCTGACATGTATGGTGTGTCACCTTGGCCTGCTCCAGCGGGGTCTCTGCGCTCTCTCTGTAGACCACGCTGAAGGAGATTCTCTTGGGTTCAGAGGTAAACGTCCAGCTGACAGTAGGACCGGGACTGCTCATAGTGATAGGAATGGTGCTGTAGCAGCTGGACTTGATGAAGAGCTCTCGAGAGCTGTCTCCAAACCCTGAGATTTCATCCACAGTGAAGTGGACAGAGAGTCTGCAGCACAGGGAATGAAACAGGGTAAGGTGAAGGGAAGTCTACAATATATACCACATTGTGAGGCTGCAGAGAAGATCAGGCATTATTCTAAAAGTCAAGAAAATCAAAGTTAATGTCAAATTAAAAGTTAACTGTCTCGAGGATATAAAATGTTGGATGGCTCAAAGTTTTTTTTTACAATTAAATGAGTCAAAGTCAGAAATCATACTCTTTAATTATCCACACCAAAACATCAGCCAGACTGAAAGTTCCCTCGGTCCTCTCTCTGCTAACATCACACCCATTGCAAGAAATGTAGGTGTCCTTTTTCATTCAAACCTCACCTTCCACCAACACATCAAGATTGTGTTGGTTAAAGATGAATAAAGTTATTAAATATTTGATGTTTTCAGCTTCCCGAATATAACGATTGGCTGATATTCTTTGTGTTGCATTAAAGTTACTGTTCCCTAGTTTTCAATTATATCTCAATCCATGCTAGTTAAGTTTAGAGAATAAAGCTTTTGCTGTTGTTGATGGTATTCGCTGTTTCTTTAGAGCGCAGCTCGACACAGCTTTAAGTGTGTTGTTCTGCAAGCTGAGTGACGTCAGATGTAGATTTTGGCCTGAAATGACAACAGGCTGTGTCAGCTTGGATTTATGGACTATGCGTTGCCTCTTATGTCAAACCAGAAACGTTTTAATCAGCAAAAACGGCGGCACATAATACACATGCAGAGGATGTTCTAAATAGATATACACTCTACAGTGTTTTGGTTAAGCCTTATTTCTTTTAGCAGAAGAAGAACATCCAAGTGAGGCTGAGGTCGAAGTCTTTTGGCACAGCATGAACTCAGCTTTCTTTCTTTTTTTAAAAGATGTTTTTTTTTGGTCCTTTTGTCTTTATTGATAGGATAGCTGAAGAGAGACAGGAGATGCTGGGCAGAGAGAGTGGGGTATGCATGCATCAAATGGGAAAGGCTCAGGGGTCAGTGTGTAAAAGACATCACATGCAGCTGTGTTCACATACGCAGATACACTTCTCAAGACTCACAAACTGATAAACAGTGTTAAAATAAGGGCGTTCTCTTCTCAAAGTTCTGAAGTTAGTCTAGTTGTATGCCTTAAATTTTGCTTTTTACTCATATGCACTTTACTTCTGCAGGTACCTGCTGACATGAGCCCTTTAATCTTTCTCTATAACAATGAAACCCACAACACATGAAACGTTTAAGAATGCCTCCCACCAAACACACTGAAGTGCCATGTTTCACTTCACATTTTGCTGTTGAGAGTAAACTTCTTAGCGGAATAATACACAAGACACTTCCTCTAATAGCTTAAAGCTCCAACCCTCTGACTCTATACAGTACACATAAACAGTAAACACCCTGCTTCTCTCAGGGTTGTCCAGCGGAACTATCACTTCATGTGAAACTCACGTGAGATCTCCAGACTTCAGCAGGCAGATCTCCGCGTCCTGAGCAATGAGGTCTTCAGTTTCATCTGGCGTGAGTTCTCCTGCACTGGCACTGTTGCTTCTGGAAAGAATGACAGATATTTAGTGATGACGAACCTGTAACTATTTAGACACATTTGTAAAAAAAAACATTTAAACTTTAAGAACTGTTAGTGTGAAAGCACATATTTACATGCACTGTCATTTGAAGATGTGCACAATTAATTAAAGCAAAACAGAAAACTTACAAAAAATGTCTTCTCTCTTACAGATACGTTGTGTCTAAAAATGACTCGAATGGCTGACATAATATAAGATTTAATATCACAAAAACAAATTTATAATAATACTGTATTTGAAGCCAGGACGTAAACACATGATGCAGCTGCCTGTGAAATGCAGGAGTCCAATGATGTGTGTGAGTTCTCAAGCCTTTTATAATAAGGCAATGTAGAATGTATAAGAAACTGTAAAAAAGTTAATCTAATTCATTTTTCCAGATCAGGCCATTGTTTTATATTGTTGTGGAAAATAATGTTTGATTTTTGTGAATGATATCCATTAGAAGAAAATCTGGAATAGACAGAACAGACTGTTCTAAAGGTAGTATCATATACTGTAGATTGTCATCCGTACCACTGACTCACTGAACCTCAGCCTCCTCTTCCATAGAGTGAAGGCATGTCAGATACTTACAGCTGTGCTGCCCCCTGCTGTCCGTGTTCAGGAGAGCAGGCAGTGGCAAAAGAGAGTTCACTGTTGTAGACCCCGCTCACTTCCTCATCTGTGATGATGTCAAAAACACCATCATCCTGCTTACCTCCTTCATCTGCTCCTGGGACATAAACAACAGTTTCATGTTTATTACTCCACTTCACTCTCACAGCACTGTGTATCCTGTTTTCAAGCACAACCCAAAGTGTGAATGCCTCAGCAGGCGACACATTACTTCAGAGTGAGAGAGTCTTTGTTCTGTTACCTGACACACTGGCCACAGATCTGCCAGCCTGCAGCAAACGACGGAAAGGCGTCCCTGGTGTGCTGGTAGCCAATTCTTCCTGTGGGTGGCGCTCGACCACCGCGCTGTGCTGGTTGTAACAGTCCCTGCAGCAGCGCTCTCTGTTGCCGCCCTGCTGGGTGCTCACTGTGTTGCTGCAGCAGTAGTAGCAGAAGGGACGCCCACACAGTCTGGAAATAGATGCAATGTGATGGAGATAAATAGGGTGAGTAATGAGTGCTTATGAAATGCATTATGAATGTAGATTATTCCAGTGTAGAAGACAAACTTAGGTAATCAAGCAAAGATTTCGTATTGAGAGTGTTTAAAATCAATTTCCCAAAAATATGCTCTTTACTTGAAAGATTAAAAAAGACACATTCTTGGAAAAATGATTACTTTTTCTGGAAATTACATCAGATAAAAAATGCATTCAAGATACTTCTTCAAATATCTGAGATTTTGCAGAATGTGGCCACAGAGTTGAGACGTTGAGAAGAACATTAAAGCACCATTCATCTTTAGTTTCAGCTTTGATCAAAACACTGAGCAGTCTCTTGAATCTCTAGAACAACTGTGGAACAACAAGTTTCTAACTGCAACGGCAATAGGCATCAAAATAGAAAAAACAAAAATCACTTAGGTGCAGGGCAGTGCAAAATCAGCAGACTTAAGAAGATAACCCTGCACACCTGCTCAAATGCCACAAAATGTTTGAAATTATAACCTGAAGAAGACCTCTGGTGGAAACGTTGTGATCAATTAAAACTTTTTGTGGCATTTGAGCAAGTGTCCGGGCCTATCTTCTTAAATAGGTGCCAAACGATTTTCGAAAAAAGTCAAACATTTAAAATAAATCCTCATGGAGTTAGGCAAGGAGAAGCGTGAAATAATAAGCTAAAAAACCTGCTCAGTGTATGAAGGCTCACATGTAAAACACCTGACAATCTGTGAAAACTTGACAAAGATAATTCTAACATTTCAATGATCTAAAACTGCATGAATATGAAATAAAATGTTGTTTAAATTGTTTAAATGATGTTTGACTGAACAATTTTTTTTTATGGTAAAATTTCAGTGTAGCTTTTGAAATGTTTTGAATGAAATGAAAGAACACATTTTGTATGTTCTACTTGTACATATCATGTATCGTATCTTCACTTTAACATGTTCACATAAAAGAGGCGATTCTGTTTCTGAATACTGAGAAACAAAGCAACCATTACGCAGAATGTTGATGTGTACTGTTCAGTAGAATGTATTACTTCACTTTCTGGAGAAGTGTGGGAAATATAGCTCAAAATGTCACTGGGCGGCAGTGACTCAGTTCCTCTGACATTTGACTTTCTGTCAAATGTCTCTCCAAACACATGCAATGGACTATGTCAGGATATTGCACCACTGCAATGACTGGTGACTTTGTGAATGTTTTAAGCGAGTGGCGATTTATGTAAAATCAAAGTATAGAGGCTAAAATGATCTGCTAATTTGTATTTCATCAATTAAGAAAAAACATTCATTTCATCGGTATCGACAGCAGTTTACTATGCTGTAATACCGTTATGGACATGATTGGTTTGTTAAGACAGAGGACCATCTGACCTGCAGCTGTACTTGCGCAGCCACCAGCTGAACTGAGTGTGACAGCCCACACAGTAGTTGACATCCCGCTCTGTCTCCTCGTCCCGTAGTTTCTGCTCAAACTCCAGGGCGTCTGTCCTCTGCCACAGTGCGTCTTTCTCCCTGCAGAGAGCGCCGTCAAGCGTTTTTTAATGCATGTGATAAAAGCACACAGTGTACAGCAGATTTTGAAGACAGGTGGTTTGTGTGCAGGCATTTGAAAAAAACACGACTGAAGACCGTTTCAACAAATATAGGGGATCATAGGGATCATCCACCGTTACATATTTAAAACTAATTAAATTCACTAATACAAAGAAAAAAAGGAGAAAACAATGGTTGGCAAAGGTGAATAAGAGTGGATCCGAGGTGTTTATACCTAATGAGTTCTACAAGCCTTTCCTCCAGATTGATTTTGGTGCGGTAAAGATCATCAAGTTCAGCAGCTGTCTTCAGATCAAAGCTCTGTTTGTCCTGCGTGGCTCTCCGAAGATTTTCACACATCTCCTGACAGGTTTTCTGAGCTGCTGCAAGACCTTCATCAGACCTGTATACATCAACACACAGAAACTTATTTAAAAGCTTTTTTTGTGTGTGTGTGACTTTGATCAAGTGAACGCAGCTTTAGGTTTGAATTAAAATAACAATTAACAACAATTATCCCAGGAAACGCCCACTACACAAAAACAAATCAACATTTTGATCCAAACAAACAAGATCAAAAAGATAAAAAGGCTTTTTTTCCCCACAGAACTGTAATTTGGTCCAGAATGTGTGATTATGAATAAAGTATCTCACCTTGATAAATTCCCTTTCAGATGGATTATCTCGTCGTCTTTCTGCTGGATGAGATTTTCAGACTCGGCCATCTGGATGTTTTTCTGCTCAATCTGTTGGCAATATCTCTGATTCTCAGCCTGCAATCAGTACAGCAAAGCAACACATTATTTCTGCTTCTTTGTGAATTATGCCGGAGACAACAATGTTATGATTACTTCAACTGCTGCGATACACAATGCAACTGAAGCACGTGCTTTTACTCATCAATCCAAGACACAAAAAATACTCATAAGAGTTGTACATATATGAATTTGTCAGAAACATCACTTTGCAGTTATGTTTAACAGATTAACAATGTCCTTTTCATCCTAAAATCCACATTTATGTAGTATGACTGCAGAAGCATGAATCAAAACATCCCTCCTCTGGCGATCAGACAGGGGCCAGAATACTCTGCTGATTATGCTCAAACATTTTTGCAGGATTCAGGACATTCAGGAGGACATCCTCTCACCTCTAACATTTTGAGTTTGTTCTTCAGGTCAACCACTTCCTCCTGTTCAGTCGTGAGCTGTGACTTCACTTCCAGTAACTCTTTATCCACAGTCTAGATAGAAACACGTACCACAGAAGTCATCAGGAAAAAACATTTACTGACAATGCTTACATAACTGAAATGTACATTTTATGCACTCTACTGCATGCAGGTTGTTACCCAGCATTTCTGGCTACAGGTTAGTTGCTCAAGCAAAATAAAAAAGCCTGAATTCAGCAATTAAAACAGCTTAATCAGACTTCAAGAGGCCAAGTGAAGTTACTTCCAATTTCATTCTGACTTGGTGGTATTATTTAAAAAAAACTAGAGTTTATCTCCAACAGTAAGCCATGCTCCATTACTTCCTTTTTTTTAGTTGTTGCCTTGCACTTTCTTATAAAAAAAAAGGTTAATTAGGAACTTGGTTGTCCATATTAGGCAGAGAAATTGCCGTTCTTCTGTAATAACTAATTATTGATTTAAAAAAAATATTAGTTTACAAGATGTTAAGAAATAATCTTTCAAAACCAAACCTACCATTATTGTGTTTCTTAAATGTATATAAAGGCATTTAAGCTTTTTTTTTTTTTTTTTTTTTTTTTGGGTGAACTGTATGTAGCTGACCTGCAGCTGGCTGCTGTGGTTCATGGCTTGGCTGCTGAGCTGGAAGCGGAGTGCCTGAATCTCCTCCTGGCTCGTCCTCTGCACAGCTCCAGCTTCCTGCTGGGCCAGGCTCAGCTCTTGCTGCAGCTCCTGCTTCACTGCTAACAAACCCTTCTCGCTGTGGAGCTGATCAAGGAGTTGCTGGTTCTCCTGGCGTAGCTGCTCCATGCCAGAATTCAACCTCTCTGGCTCCTTGGCGGCTTCCTCCTCCAGCTCCTGCAGCCTTGTTGACAAACCCTCCCAGCGTAGACGAGCCTCTTCATTCTCGGCAGTGAGCATACACACGTGCACGCCGAGTTCAGCCGTTTCTGTATTTGCTCTATGCAGCGCCTCTCTAGATTCACTGTTCTCCAGACACAGGGCTTCATAACGCATCTTCCATTTATTGAGCTCATCTCTGGAGGCTGTCACCTCTGCAGCCAGTCCCACTCGAGCCTGAGCCTCAACGTCACGCTCCCGTATGAGAGCCTCCTCTCGCTCTCTGGAACGAAGAATCTCATCCACGTGCTTGCGGTTTAGCTCCTCCACCTGGACTTTGAGTTGTTCTGATAACACCCGGAGGTCTTCTCTGGAGGACTCTGTCACCTCCTGCAGCGCCTGAACCTTCAGCCTCTCCTCACTTCTTGCTAAAAGCTGAGCCCTGAGCTCCACTACCTCCTCCTGAAGCCGATGCACCTCCCTTAGATTGAGCTCCAGTTGAGCCTCAGCTATAACCAGCCGGAACGGGGCCTCTTTGTTTTCCAGCGAAGAGGTCTGATGCTCATCATGATGCTTCTGTGTTTTTTCGTTGCTCTCGGCAGCTCCTTTTTCATCGTGTAGCTCCACAGACCTGTTCTCCAGCTCCTCGGCTCTAGCTTGCAGAAGTCCACATTTAACAGTCTGCTCTCTCAGTTTACACTCAGTTTCCTGAAGTTTTTCGAGCAACTCCCCTTGGCTTCTTTGGGACACTACAAGGTTCTTGTCCAACTGTGCAGCTTTGGCAGTGAGTGAGTTTAATTCCTGTTGAGTTGTGGCTAACTGTATCTTCAATGCTGAATGTAACTGAAGAAGCTCCTTATTCTCCTGCTCGAGCTTCTTGAATTGAGCATCACATATGTCCTTTTGGCAGAGTTGTTTCTGGACAATCTCCTCAAGATGAAGGTTTTCATCCAGAAGCTTCTTCTCTCGATCTTCCACACACATCTTTGCAGCATCAACTCTGCCTTTTAAGTGTTTCTCAGAGGCCCTCAAAGATGCTAGCTGGTCTAACAAGACCGCTCTGCTCTCAGTCAATTCTGTAATGCTTCCCTCGCTCTGCTTAACTGTTTGGAGCAGTGTAGCATTCATTTCCTTGAGGTTGCTACATTGGGTATTGAAGTCCTCAAGGTTTTCAGTTTGATCACAGGAGGACTCTTCATTATCAGAAAGTCTAGAGCTCAAGCTTTCCTTCTCAACGTTTAGCTTCTCCAACTGCTCCTCTAGATGTTTGATTCTTTCTGAGCTAGCGGCTAGCTCTTTGTCTCTGCTTTTCAGAGTTATTCTTACGTCTAGTATCTGGCTCTCGAGTTCCTCTTTCTGGAAACTGCTCCTGCTACATCTCTGCTCCACCTCCTCCCTCTCCTCGTGCAGTCTTTTCCTCAGCTCCTCTGCCTGCCGTTCTCTGCACTCCAGTGATGCTTGTAGATCCTGAAGCTGAGCTCTCAAGTTCCCCGACTCCTTCTCCTTCAAAGTCAGCGCCCCCTGAATTCTACCGACTGCACTTTGAAGATCCTCCAGGCGCTTGAGCGCCTTCTCTCGTTCGTCATGAGCTCCGGCTTTTACTTCAGCCAGCTTCTCCTCACTTCCCTTCAACTCTTCCTGTCTGAGCTTAAGCTCCTGGGACAGACGCTCAGAGTGCCTGGCCCTGTCCTCCGCCTCTCTCTTTGCCTCAAACCTCTCCTCCTCTGCTGTCTTGAGTTTATCCAGGAGTTCCTGGATTTTCCAGGCTGAGTCGCAGTAGCTAGCTGTTTGTTGTCCCTTTTCATTCAGAGCCTCATCCAACTTGGACAGAAGCTCCATATTTTTGTTCTCAGCTGCCGTGAGTCTGTCTTGAAGTTCCTTTTTTATATCTTCCCTGCAGGTTTGAACATCATTTGCTTTCTCCAGATGATTTGATTCGGGTTTGAATTGGGCCGCTGTAGACACGGCTTGCTCAGAGGACTCATGAGCTTCTAATAGTTTGCCTTGAAGGTCTTTAACAACTCCTTTTAACTCATCAGCCTCTTTGCCTAACTCCTGAACACGTACAAGAAGCTCTTGCTGTCTGAGCTCGGACTGGTCGAGCTCAATGCGGAGGTTCTCTGCGATGCTACATGGAGAAGGTTCCCCCAATTCACCTAGTTCACCAAGGAGACTATGATTCAGGTCTGGGATTGGGAGAAACTCAGGCGCCTAATTAGAGAAAAAATAAGAGATGTGGTCAGGTGCTTTGAAAAGTTCAGTCAAACTCACACAAGTATTTGAACAGGACTGTCTGTGCAGATGATTTATATTAAGTATGTTTGGACCTGTGTGTGTGAGTAGCTGCTAATAAGACTGTTGACACTGGAGCAGCGGCTGGGAGGCCTCCACGGGAACGCTGACGAGGCAGTGCCTAATGTTCGCCTTGAAGAAAATCAGAAATCAAACATTATGTTTCAAAACACCTGATTAAATAGTGCAAGTAAGACAAACATGGAAAAAATACTTAGTAGACAATGAAAAGAAACTTCAATTTAAAATGGAGTATTAAGCGGCTGAACTACAGTACCTATTTATTTGTTATTCCGTACCAATTTCCAGCATATACTGTGCAGGTTCTGACCAAGTACTAAGTAGGTTTTAATTTACAGTAATTTATAGTATTTGTTAGTAGTTAGTAGTTTAATAGTTTATAGTATTGGAAAGGACAGCTGAAAAGAGACAGGACATGTTGGGAGGAGAGAGTGGGAGGTGGGGGGGGGGCGACGACCCTGCAGGAAAGGGCCTGAGGTTGGATTCGAACTCACGGCCGCTGCAACGTGGACTACAGCCTCTGTGCATGAGGCGCGTGATATAACCACTATGCTATCCTGCGCCCCTAATTCATTACTTCTTAATAATTATATATTTAAAGTATTGATCTAAGGAGGAGGCGTTTGAACAGAAAGCTGACACACGTGTGTCATGAGAAGTTGAAAATGAAGGAGCATCTAAAAGGCAAAGGATGTTTTCATCTTCATCAATGATTTATGATTGTTAATGCGGGATAAATTCATCAATCCAGATGTGTAATTATGATACCATTATCGTTTAGTAATCTGTAACAACCACTCTCATGAAACAGTGTCTGTTAATGTTATCGCCCGTATATTTGTTTATAATGTGTTTGACATGTGTGAGCTCAACCCCCCCCCCTCTAGATGACTTCCCAGTAATAGTCTGTGCCGGACTACGAGTTTCTGTAAAGCATTACACGTGATTAAGATTCACAGTAATGTGGTGCAACCAGAGCAACAACATACTGTTACATAACGCTATTAAAAACTAACGTCCGCTGCTTGTGGAGTGACTGTGACAACAAGGAAGTGAATAGTTGTGGCAAACGTGCTGACGTGAGTAACAGCGTTCAACGCTCACAATGTGGGCACCCACATAGTGAACACACACACACACTTGAGTAAAAAAAAAAAAAAAAGAGCTGTGAATGTGAAGATTGATCGGCTAATTAAGTGTTACTTCAAGTTGTGAAATACGTTATCCTTTTGCAGCACAATTGTACATGTGCTGCACTAAACTGGTGCAGGATTTCAGATTAGACGTCTCATCACGTCTATGAATGAATAATTGACAAATGATTTCTAACCCCGACGCAGATTTAGTACTCACTCTTCCTTGTTATTATTTAAACATAGTGAGGGTGGATATTGAGGAGTTAAGATCTCAAGTGCGGCTCTCAAATGTACAAAGTCAAGGGCAGAAGATTTCTGGCAAAAGCCAAAGCTGAGAACTTAGTTTATTTAAGGAAGATTTTAAATGTGAAAAGTATGTTAAGTATAACTTGCCTGAAAGCCAAAAATCTCTTTATGTGAAATAGTTTGTCAGAATAATTCCATGTGGGATGGGTCATGTAAATGACATGAAAATAAATATTAATTCATTTAAAACACCTAGTTCTGGGGTGTCCCATGTACAGAGGCTACATACCTCAAAGCGGGCAGCCGGGTTCAAACCCGACCTATAGCTATGGTTTGCTGCATGACATTCCTCTCTCTCTCTCTCTCTCTCTCTCTCTCTCTCTCTCTCTCTCTCTCTCTCTCTCTCTCTCTCTCTCTCTCTCTCTCTCTCTCTCTCTCTCTCTCTCTCTCTCTCTCTCTCTCTCTCTCTCTCTCTCTCTCTCTCTCTCTCTCTCTCTCTCTCTCTCTCTCTCTCTCTCTCTCTCTCTCTCTCCAATAAAAGTCATGAAGAGCCCAACATTACATCTTTAAAACCCCTACATCCAAATGATGTCAAAACAAGAACAAAGCAGAACTGATGATTAAAGTGTTAAAGAAACATTGCAGCTGTTCATGTGTTACCTTGCAAAGCTTGGCCAGTCTGCGTCGAGGTCGTAACCTCTGGCTGCCACATCAAATTGGATCTGGTTGAGCTCATAAAGATGGTTGATTATGTCAGCAGTGAGGTGAGACTTGAGAAACGGACTTCTGGCATAATACCAGTCACTGTGTGTGGAAAAACATAAACAAACACCATGTGACATAATACAAAGAAAATAGACACACACATGTTTTGGCAAAAAGCTACACTATCTTGTTTTACAGTGGATTCGGATTCCTGCATGATAATAATCCTCTAAGATCCTGAAATGATTCACAAATGCCAAAGTTGTTAATGAGCATTATTTATAAAGATCTTTGGACAGAGTGAAAAAGAACGATCAACCAAAAGAGCACAAACAGCTACAAACGTCTGAAGTTATCTGAAGGATTTTAAAGGAAGTTGTTTTGGTTTGTTGTAGCGATCTAAACATTTGATTAAGTTAAAGTACTTTACTCGAGGATTATGCTTACAGTTCTGGAGATAAATCCTTATGGTCACTCTGAATAAAAGCATTGATATTTTTTTGTTGTTATTATATAACATGAAGCTGAGGTAGGACACTTTGGAAACACAGCATGAATAAGTCTAATGTTTAAAGCATCCAACCTAAAAACTCCCAGCGTTCCCCTTCTGAGCTCCTTCCAATTCTAATCCACTTCAAACACATAAACAAACACTTCAGGATTACTTCTGGTGGACAATGACACAGCATTGGACTCTACAGGTTATAGTTTCCATCACTAAGTGTATCACACCACCTTGAAGTGCCCTTCTTTTGTCAGAGTGTTTCATTTCCTGATTGTTGTCATAAAACAAAGAAGCACATGCTTCTAATAAAATCAATGTTCTGTTTATGGCTTTAATCTCTGCTCTAATCCATTTTATTCTTAAATTTCATTCGCTTTAGTATTTGTGTATTATTGTGAATGTGTGTGCTCTTAGTCTTTAGTTGTGGCATTATTTTAATTTTACAGTCTGTCTGGCTTGTACAGCACTTTGGCCCACATGAGTAGTTTTTTAAATGTGCTTCATAAATAAATTAAACTTTACTTGACTAATACAAGTTGAATTGAATTCAAAATGATACGAACATGAACAAAGAAAGGAAAAAAAGTTGCCAACCAAAGCTTGATGCACTCAATGCACATAAAAAAAAAAATGACTTTCCTTGTCAAATAATACGAAAAGACTGACTTTAGGGTTTTATGAAAGGCTGAGGAAGTGAGATGAGACCGTGGGAGGGTTTGGTTTGGTTTAGTGTCTGTTGTGTTTTCAGCAAAAACAGAAATGACACAGAAACAAGGAAGGGAGAGACACACTTCCCAATAAAAGGAGACTTTCAAAATACAAACACTACGTGGGCAAACACTACCTAGGCAACACTCAGGACAACATGTTTGGAATATGTTTGCAGTGTAATGTTTGAGTGTTTACATATATGTTGTCTGACCTTGTGACCTTATGGTTAATTAGACACTGCTGCAGCGTGTCGGCAAGTCGCTGGTGAACAAGTGAGTAGCGGATGAAGGCCCTTCCTTTCCCCAGTGATGTCTTCAGCTGAGAACACACAAAAAAACACACTTAGTGTACTTCTACAATCAGACATTACCTCACTGTGATGTGGATTGACTTCGGTGGCCAGTAATTGATCTTTTATAGCCTGGTCATAGAGGGCAAACTGTAAAGTGGCCATGCTTTTTATAATCATTTGTGTTTAAAAGTGACGTCAAGTTTCACCTCCAGCAACTATTAGAGCATGCATAATTTATTAAAATATTACCATGAGTACAACCCTTAACTCTGAAGTGTGTATACAGTTAAAAAAAAGTGACAAAAAAGCGTTATAATGAAGTCGTGTGGTGCTGCAGAGATGCCCAAACTTTTCTCCACATGCAAGAAAACCTGTTCCTTCTGACTCCGAAAAAAGTCCCTTCAGCATGATTTCTCTGTTGTTGTTTTTTGACTGATTTGATTATATCAACGATGTTACTTTTTTTGGTTTGTGAAACCCGTTGCGGTAATGCTTTTGTAAGATTTTTGGATTCCTCTTCAAATGTTGTGTTGTTTTCTCGGACTAACAGCCCAAAATGTGTAGATGTTCAGTTTACAGTGATATAAAGCATGGAAAAACAAGAAATCTGACATCTGTGGAGCTGCATGGAAGAAGGGCTTCAAACTAAATAAAAAAGTTTTCTTATTATTTCAGATTTAGTTGTTCATAGACCCCTGTGTTAAATAGCCTTTATTCAAAAAGTCGTCCTGAAAAGAACATTTAAGAAAGTCAAAGTTCAAAGGTAATCACTGTATAGACACGTAATCTACAGAGTCTGTCAGCCCACACTCTCCCACTACATAAGCAGATGGATGGATTTAAGCAAGAGAACAGGCCCACAGATCTCCCATAAGGACACCAGCTGGAGACTCATTTATGGCAGTGACTGATTGACAGGAACAAGAAGAGTAAAAGTAATATTTTACGTAAGAGTACCACACTTTTAAATCAAGAAATAACCAGTATGAGGGTATATGCTGACCCTGGTATCAGTCTTTAAAATATGATGATTGCAGGCTTTTTGTTCCTCATTTACAGAATGAACATCAAAGAAAAATCTTTAGTCTGTTGGTCGGACAAAAACAAGACATCTGAAGATGAAAAAAGACAACCTCAGGTCTGACTCATGGTAACAACAAGCATAGTAACAGAAAACAGAAAGGGCAGATGAGCTGGTGATAACAATAATACTTTATCACAGCCCTTCACTACACCACAAAAGTGTCACTGTGCATCATTAATCCAAAAATGATGCTGGATTTGAATTCTCTGTCAATATTACAATAAAAAAAAAAAAAAAAAGGAATGGCAAAAGGACTATTGGCTGGAAGTCACTGCAGTTTAACCTTTTAAAATGAATTTTCTTGGAATGTATAGACTTACTGAGTTAATATCAAGCACAGTGATGTAATCATAATTATTTTTAAATGCAGACATATTAGAAATATCAATATGGCTTGTATATGCCTATAGCCCTCAAGGGGAAAAACACCTGAAAACAAAAACTCTTTAAGCTTTACAAACACAAACCAACCCTCGATAGAAGACACATTGGAGACTAAACAGGCTACCAATTATGTATAGTACAAATTCAGACTACTACAGGTATTCCACTGTGAAGCTCACCACTGTGAATTCCCAGGATAGAGCGTGAGGTACACACAGTACAGTGCAGCAGGTACGGGCGTAAGGCAGCAAGTAAATTAGAAGCATGCGTCTTACTGTACCTCACTGAGCACAGGATTAGTTACCTGGTTATACAGTCACTGTGTATTTGTGTGTCTGCAAGTGTGACACGCTATGGCAGAGCCGAGGCATTGAGGGTGACTGTGTGTGTGTGTGTGTGTGTGTGTGTGTGTGTGTGTGTGTGTGTGTGTGTGTGTGTGTGTGTGTGTGTGTGTGTGTGTGTGTGTGTGTGCGTGTGCGTGTTTGTGTGTTGCAGAGGAGGATTACCTCAGGGATGGACTTTACAAAACGGATGCCGTCGTTAGCTCCCTTGATCTTAATCAGGCAGTCACAGAAGTAATCCCAGTAGTCTTTTCTTTGACCAAGAAAGGTTGTCTTCTCTTTCTGGTCAAACTGAAAACCACAAAGCAGCACCTTATTGTTGCATCAAATGACAGTGTTCAAAGTGACATGGTGGTTAGTCTGACACTGTTGAGTATGTTGTAAATTCTTGATTCAGCGTTTGTGGTTCAGCTGTGTTCCACAATCTGGTATCAAGAGCCCTCTACATGACTGGTTCCATGACTGTAGCCAAATAAGGCTTAGTCACACATATTATAACAAGACACATACTGTATGTGTGAGGTCAGGACAGGTCAACCCAAAACAAAGTTACCCAACAGTTTGTTGCATCTTAGAGTTTTATGACAAGTCATGACCCACATAGAGTATCTAAGAGAGGATTAAAACAAATACAAAAAAACAACAACCCCTAAAGATCCACATTGTGACCCCCTTTAAGGACTGACCCCAAATTGGTAATCACTGTTGTGGAGAGTGATATGAACATACTTTCAAACTGGATAACACAGGAAAAAAAACCTAGACATCAACTTTAAATGAGCCATGTGATACCGTACCTGTAGCAGGTATTCTAATTTGTAGAAGAACTTGTGCAGGTTGGCGCTGTCATCGGTCACAGGTTCACCACACTCCTTGTGCTCTTTACTCAACTCTAACACAGCGTCTAAACAAGACAGCAAAAGCATTATTAACAAATTAAGTCATGCACAGATATAAAATCATATTAGTGTGTACACAAATAATGCAAACATCTTCTGATAGCTCTGGGAGTTATAGATTTTGTGTACAGATTCGTCTTTATACTTAAACCTCTCCTGTTTGGTCCATTTCCTTTTTTACACACATAATGAATTCATAAAGTAAACATCAAAAACCTGCAGCAAGGCACACAGAGCAATTCACTGTATATATATAAAAAAAAAAATCGTGTTTACTTTAAGTGTGAACATTTTTATTACCATGGAGATCTCTGATTATCCTCTGCAGTTGATTATCTCCAACTGATGAGGAGGAGGCCATAGTGGAGTGAGGGCAGTGATCTGCTTGAAGTGTAAAAAACACAGAGGGAATGATTAGTGCAGGGACATATTTTATATAGACCCCTCATGATGTAAACACTCTTCTATATCTGTGCCAACCCCCCCCCCCAAAAAAAAAAACTACAAATACAAGTAGTGCACAATCAAACGTGAAACAATCTGCGACCAATGAGTTTCACCTCTGCAGAAAAAAAAAAAGTGTGAGCTCTGAGTTCTGCATACCGAATAGGTCTTCTCAAATGAGACAGATTATATAAATAAGGGTACATGAATTTGTTGAGGTTATGTATTGAAGGGGACACTTTACAACAACATGACGGCAGGTGAAAGCGAATCACAACCTCATTATGTGTTACCATTCAGCTGACATGTAGTCACTTTTATCTAAAAGATACCACAACAAGCCAGCAAAGTTGACTTCATTCACTTCTTTAGCGGCGTAACAATCGCAACAAACCCACCGACAAACACACCGATTTGTCGGAAGCTGGCGTGAGCTACCAGAAATGCACCTGTTCTCAGCTCCTCATTTCCTGGTTCCGCTGTAAAATTCTATGAAAGAGCATTTCAGGAAGATTGAACATAAAGGCAAACTCTTCAACATAAAATAAATAGTTCAATTACACACGTACTTGATTGTTTAAATTGTCCCGAGTGCCCAGTTTGTAGGTGATACCGCAGAAACTTGCTATCGCCGTGGGCGGGCACTGCGAATGATTGACGGGTCCAATGGACAAATGGTCGCTCGTTACTGCTGCGGCATTTCATCCTAGTTCGGTTGAGAGTTCAAATGGTAAATAAACAGAACGATGAGACCCGTTCTCGTGCTTTTTTTTTTTTTTTTTTTAACCCAATGTTTAATGAAACAGGTCTCTAACACATGAATAACCATTAAGAATGTTGTTCTATATGGAGTTAGATCAGTCTCAATATTCACAAATGCACACAGAAGGATTCACCAATGTATTTCAATGCACACACACACATATTTAATTCTATATAAATGTAAAACAAATCCACAAATAAAAAAAAATAAGATTCACAAATGTATTTCTGATTCACACACAAATATTTATAGTTTTGTATATATGTAATAGAAATCCACAAATATATAAACTGTTCAGTCTGCATTTACAAACTGTTTGTCATTTGTGGACCTCACTGCATTTGTGTGTGGGATTTTTGAGACTCCCCTGCCGTGGTTAGAGGGTTAGATTCACAAATGTATTTTTTTTCAGCAGGGAAATGTTTGTAGCCAATCAGATGTCTCCTTCCTATTCAGCCAATCACAGTAGCTTAGATTCAAGCTCTTGTGCTGGAGACGCTCCTTCTACTGTCTACTGTGACGGCCTCGAGGTTGGCCTTCTCCTGTTTGTTTCCCTTTGCTGGCTGTGTTCTCCTTGTTGCAGGTAGATGTGGGTGGAGTCAGGGAGGACTCTAATGCAGCACAGCTGAGCAGGCTGGTTTTGGGAGTCTACAAAGCACACTTGCTCAATCTCCGCATTCTCTTCTCTCCTGCATACTGCTGTTAACATTTGTTTGTGCTTTGTGTTGGAGTTTGATACTCATTCACACACACACACACACACACACTCACACACACACACACACACACACACACACACACACACACACACACACACACACACACACACAGTCATCATTGCATACACACTGACCTCCTCACAAGCATAACACTATGTAGTTGAATAATGTAAGTAAACAACGTTGAATAATGTTGCCGACTATGTGTGGTCTCCCTCTTTTGTCACTGCTCTGTTGAGCCAGGTTGTGACACTACCACAAAGGTGAACAGAAATCAGAGCTCATTCTCAGATCCACATATAACTTCTGTACAACAACATTGTTTTACTTGTGCATATGTGAAGTGTTTTTACTTGAATTGTAAATACTTGTTTCTGCTTGGCCATCACAGTTAAAAAATATATTTTATTATTTAAAACGTGTCATTTTAAAACAACTTTCCACATATAGTACGACAATCACAGAGACTATTTGTGCTGGTCAGAATAAAGATGACTTAATCAGATTGTCTGATAGCTAGGCTAATTGCTGTATGCACAGATGCAACGCTAAAGTGATCACATGCACGAGTTAAACAATGTCGTTCTACAGAAGTTATATGTGGATCTGAGAATGAGCTCTGATTTCTGTTCACCTTTGTGGTAGCTATATAAGGAGCGTCATCAGCACAAGAGCTCCTGTGCGTGCAAAAGGACTGAGAAATACTAAAGGTAAAGTAAACTATTTTTTATGCGATCAATTGTTTTTATTCTTTCGCTGATACATTTGCCAGTCATACAAATTTGTTTAGGAATTGTACAAAGTTTGAAATATATACACATACATTCATTATAAGCATTTTACAAACTAATCAAAATGTCTTTCAATGGATTTTTGTTCACCAGTTATATTTATTTGTCAAAAGACAACTTGATTGAAATTGTATTATAAGGGAGCAATGCACTACTGGAGGGACAACCACAAGGAAACACATATATAGGCAACAACAACAAAATGCATTCTACTCCATAAACATATATATTAGAAGATATAAGAAAAATAAGGAAAAGTATGTCCAGCAAACTAAATGTAAACACATAGAGTACATGTTGACAAAATACAGTATGTTAGCTACATATTGTTAATGTGAGAAATTGGATGTGTATGTGGTAAGAATGTGAAAATGTTAGAATATTATAAAGTGTGTGGTTTAGTTGTGTTGCCAGCAGTGACAGTACCTCCAGACACCAATCTAAACAAATGTAATATTTTTGTTTATTCAGACCTCTATATTAAATGTTATTCAAAAATACTTTCCTTTGTGTTCATTGAGATTTGTTAGAGATTAATATCTTAACAATGGATTGCAAATTTTAGGGAAATTAAACCGAAACTACCAATATGGCTTAAGCCGTATCAAGTAAGTCAAATGTGCTTATACCCTTGAAGCTATTTGATATAACCCAACTACAAACTCAAAAAATAACTTCTCTTTTTTTAAATTTCTCTTCCAGCTGGAAGAAAATGGCTACAACTGAAGTCTTTACTGCCACCGCTACAGGCACCAATGACTACGAGAATTACTATGACGATGACTATCAAGATGAAGTGTGCAACAAAACAAGCGTTATACACTTTGGGGCCAACATCACGCCAATCTTCTTCTCATTTGTGGTGCTCCTGAGTCTGTTTGGAAACATCCTGGTCATTTGGATTCTAGCAAAGTATGAGAATCTCAAATCCCTAACCAACACCTTCATCCTGAACCTGGCAGTGTCGGATCTCTTCTTCACCACGGGCTTACCTTTCTTTGCTTACTACCACATGTATGGATGGACGTTTGGGGATGCTGCATGCAAAATAGTCAACTTTGTCTTCTGTGTTGGCTTTTACAGCAGCGGTATCATCCTCATCCTGATGACGGCTCACCGTTACAAAGCCGTCATGAATCCTCTCTCGGCCCTAGTGTCACCAACTTGCTGCTACAGTGTCCTTGCATGTGTCACTATTTGGGCCTCGAGTGTATTGCTCGCCAGTCCAGCCTTCCTCTTCACCGAAGTCCAGAACCAGAATCACTGTGTGTACATGAACTCTTTCTGGAGCTTGTGGGGAATCTACCAACAAAATATCCTCTTTATAATTAGTTCAATAGTGTTCCTGTTTTGCTATTCTCAGATCATGTGTCGTTTGCTGCGTCCCCCTGCCCAAAGAAGAAAGAACAAAACTTTAAAGCTAATTTTTACCTTAATGGTTGTTTTCTTTGTAGGCTGGACTCCTTACAATATAGTAATTTTCCTAAAGTCTTTGTACTTCTGGCCAAAACCACCCGCTGACTCAAATGCACTCCCTGCAATCTGTAAATCTTCCGAACGACTGGATTACACATTCTTTGTTAGCCGACTTTTTGCCTTTTCACACTGCTGCCTCAACCCAGTGTTTTATGTGTTTGTGGGGGTTAAATTTAAAAACCACTTGAAGAAGATGCTGAAGTGCTTGGGCAATGGCAACAGCAGCATCCGCAACAGGCAAAGCCGACTCACAATCACATCCCTCACAAGTGGTGATGAGTTCTCTATGTAGTTGGAAGAGAAAGCAGCTGTAAAGCCTGAACTCCAGGTTCCATAGGCCTATAAGGAAACCTAATTCCTATTTCATTGGTATTTTAAACAAAAACCACTAGAGATCAAAGCCTTTAAACAAATGTTTTGTGATCAATTACAAATTCTTAGCTTATGATGATTTAAGAGCAAAAACTATTGTTTCTCATATATGACTATTTAGCAGTAGTTCTTTGTATTGACTGTGGGTGTCTCTACGTCTACAGCTCAGGTATACATTTTGTATGTGGGTGTGATCCCGGATGGGCAAAAGGTTTTTTGACCGTTTAACGTGTTGTCATCACAATCTGTGTGTTTTTGATGGATTTCACTGCTGGATGCAAGTATAAAGGCTTTTAAAAAGAAGTATTTTCATTGCAATCTGCTCAATCTGCTGGTCATCCTTTAGTGTTGATTAGACGGAAATGACTTTGCAGTAATGTTCATGCTCAAACTGTAAAACTGTTGCTGCAATTCTGACTTAATGTGAAACAAAAAGAGGAACAATGAGCTATCTCTTTATTTGGTTGGCTTGTTCTCCACACTTCAATTCAGCATAAGACGTGGCAACTGATGTTCAGGGAAAGGTTCTTACTCTTCTTATTAAAAGGTAAACAATTTTTATTTAGTTTTTCTCCATTTTTTTAATATCTCTCAATGTTTATTTTATTGCAAACTACTAATAGGTTGATCTCTGTAATCTGCTATGTTTATAACATTTGCCATGCCCTCACCTAGAAACCTACAATGATGAACGTCTCCACGATGGGCATCAGAGATTTAAACAACACTGATCATCTTGAGTGTCCTGAGATGTTTGACTTCAATACCCTCAGTGGTGTTTTCTTCATTTTGGTCTTTATCTTAAGTCTTATAGCCAATGTTCTCCTTGTATGTGTTGTTGTCATCTATGAGAAGGTGAAAAATGTCACAAATGTCTTCATCCTAAACCTGGCATGCGCAGATTTGCTCTTCACCATCACATTCCATTCTGGGCTGTCATCACATGCACCACTGGGTCTTTGGTGATTTCGCCTGCAAATCAACACTGCTGCGTACTATGTTGGTGTGTACAGTAGTGTCATTCTGCTGACTGCCATGACTGTGGATCGTTTCATAGCAGTGGTGCTGCACAACTGGCCATGCAACCCTGTAAGGAGGCAGAGGTGTGCAAAGGTTTTCTGTGCAGCTGCCTGGATCATCAGCATTGCTGCATCTGTGAGCGATGCAATCAAAGTAAAGGTGGTAGATTGGGGGAATAATGGCATTGGGTGTGAGGAGGAATCTAATGAAGCTGATGTCAACCTGGCAAATCATCTTCAAGTGTTACTGCTCTTCTTCTTCCCATTTGCCATCATAGCTTTCTGCTATTCTGCCATCCTCTGGACAGTCTTGCAGGCCTCAAACAGAAAAAGGTACAGGACTGTAGTCATGGTGTTATGTATTGTCATAGCATTTTTCATCTGCTGGGGACCTTACAATATTATGTTATTGTTTGCATCTTTTCACGAGTTGAAAGACTGTAATGCAAGAGAAAATTTCTCCATGGCCTTTGAAATTTTTCGTATCCTTGCTTTTTCTCACTGCTGTATGAACCCTCTGCTGTATATGCTCTCACAGAAGTTCAGAAGACATCTCATGCAACTTTTACGCTGCAACAAACCCACAAGGTATATCACCGAGCGAGGCAATGGCCGGAGCACTTCTATCTTTCAAAACTTAGCCTTTAGAACACAAAGCTCTACAGTTATGTCTGAAGTGCCGTCCAATTAGACATTCAGCTTTGTATAACGTATTCACGTGGTTCAGAAAGTTTGTGTTTATGTAACGTTAGTTTGATTTAAAAAATGATTTTGCACATTTCCATTAAGAATCTATGGCTCTGTTTCAATTTAAAGTTTTTAATGTGGTAAGTTAATGACAAATATGTATAGTCAAAATGAAAAGCATTTTGTGTGTATAATTGTATGTGGCAAAGCTGTCACCCTTTAACATATTTTGCCCTTTCAACTGAACTTTGCTTTGTTGTTACTTTGATATTTGAATAAAGTGGAATCTAATTTCATTAGCTTTCACTTCTTTTTTACAACAATATTTGGTGACATGCAGGAATATGGTGGATATAAAATGTTGTTGAAGTACTTTTTCTGGGAAGAGTCCAAGACAGAGTTAATGATTTAGTAAATTTTATTATTTTATTATTATTATTATTATTATTATTATTTCATCATTTGACACTGATGGACACTTTACATAGAAGTCTCTGTCATCAGTGTGAGTGAATGGGTGTGAATGGTTAAGTGTGATTTGATTGTAAAAAAGTGCTTTGAGAAGTCAGAAGACTAGAAAAGAGTTATACAAGCCACACAAGTCCATTTACCATTTGCATATGTTTCATGCACATATTTTCAAAATATATCCATGAAAAATGCTCTTAATACATAGAATACACAGCTTGAGTTTAAACAAAAAAACAACAACAACAGGGGTTGTTTTTCATTTTTACTAAGTCTCTGAGCTTGTAAATAGCATTTAAAATTATATAATTAAATGTCAATATCTAATTGGGTCCATTAATCCGAAACTTACATGATATGAGGCTTATTCTATTTTCCATGTTATTTGTGCAATCGTTTTGGGCTTTTATTTTGAAAGCAAGTTATCCCACTTACCTGGTAATATTTACAGTCTATGTTACCTGGCCGTAAAACCGGATATGGGAAAACTGTTTGTGTCTGCATTTATTCGAGACTGTGGTAGGTTAGGCTACTTTATGCTCCTCTGTCAAACTCTTAAACCAAGCTGGAGGATTAAGAAGGTATGAACTCGGTTATCTTTGAGACTTTTAACACATTTAATCATTTGAGTGTAATGTATTGGATCATTTTAGTTGTCATTAGATTTTCCTAGGCTTTGGGGTTTGAAGCCTGTAGTAGCCTACATGTATGCTACCACTGTAGCATAGCTATTTGACTCAAACTTCTTCAAAACGGATGCTTGTCTGAAATCTTGACTTCAATTTAAAGTTTGGTTAGCCTACTTATATAAGCTTCAGCCTTACATGCTAACAACTGCATCTTAAGTTAGAGTAGACAAACCAGGTGTTAAATCCAGACATGAGCCTTTGAAGAAATCTAAGCTACAGATAGAGGGACCTGCTTTGCAAACTTACTGTTGATAGGACCATGACTTATAGGGGAGAAATGAGGCAGTCAATATGACACAAGAACAGACAGAAAAGTTTTACAATGTAGAACAACACAGGAAACATGTCTGAAACTTCATTGATTTTGTTGCTTTTTCTGAGTCATTTTGGTCAGAAACAGCCCTCTTACACTTCTGGATTTCTTGATTATGCAAAAGGGGGATCGAGTCTAGCCTACGTCATGTGTACGATGCATTCCTGTGCTTGTGCATGATCTACTACTATACCCAGCTCTTCAAACCGTGTCAGGGCCAAGGCGCACTCACACAAGTCAGATGCACTGGGGGACTTAGGGGGTCAAACATGCTTGAGCATGGTACAGATTGCCTAGTGTGAGTGCGCCCTCTGGTATGCCCATTTTACTTCCACACCATTCTCTTATACACACACACACACACACACACACACACACACACACACACACACACACACACACACACACACACACACACACTTGCACCTTTAGTCTCTTACTACACACAGCGACTGGTCCTGCCCCATGTTGTTCTGTAGGTTTATTTTGTGAGTTTATGACATTATTCATCAGCAGTAAGTTTAATAAAAACACTCAGATTACTCCGGTTTAAAAGGTTTAACTTTATATTCTCTTATAACAACAGGTCATACATGTGTGGATGTATTATTTATGATGCAGTGTATTGCAATCATCATCCTTCACTAAAAGAGCAGGATATCATCTGAAGCAAGCAGCTGCAGAGAAATATTAAAACAATGGCATAAGCTCCGGTTTAAACACAACACGTTGCACCTCAATGGGGGCATTTACGTACTAGCAGACCCTCTCTCTCTCTCTCTCTCTTCTCTCTCTCACAGATGATGATCTCCAGGTTCCATAGGCCTATAAGGAAACCTAATTCCTATTTCATTGGTATTTTAAACAAAAACCACTAGAGATCAAAGCCTTTAAACAAATGTTTTGTGATCAATTACAAATTCTTATCTTATGATGATTTAAGAGTGAAAACTATTGTTTCTCATATATGACTATTTAGCAGTAGTTCTTTGTATTGACTGTGGGTGTCTCTACGTCTTCAGCTCAGGTATACATTTTAGGAAGTCACTGACTGGGTCAGATCCCGGATGATGTTGTCATCATAATCTGTGTGTTTTTGATGGATTTCACTGCTGGATGCAAGTATAAAGGCTTTTAAAAAGAAGTATTTTTATTGCAATCTGCTCAGGCTGCTGGTCGTCTTTTAATGTTGATTAGAAATTGTATTGAAGTGTATCAGCCAGGTCACTCCAGGATCAAGCGTCTTTGTAGCTAAGTTCTAAACTGATCTCATTTAATAGATGGTTTGTGTAAAATGTTCTTTTTTGTGCCTTGCCCAAAAGGGCACTGTATCACCCTTTCACTGTCTATGCATAAATAACTGCGGTCGAAGCTACTGCCCCCAGCTTCTGTTCTCATGGCTTCTTAATTTTTAGCTGAAAAGCAAAGTACAAGTAACCACCATGCAGAAAATAACTAAGCGCTAAAGCTATGACGGAAATGACTTTGCAGTAATGTTCATGCTCAAACTGTAAAACTGTTGCTGCAATTCTGACTTAATGTGAAACAAAAAGAGGAACAATGAGCTATCTCTTTATTTGGTTGGCTTGTTCTCCACACTTCAATTCAGCATAAGACGTGGCAACTGATGTTCAGGGAAAGGTTCTTACTCTTCTTATTAAAAGGTAAACAATTTTTATTTAGTTTTTCTCCATTTTTTTAATATCTCTCAATGTTTATTTTATTGCAAACTACTAATAGGTTGATCTCTGTAATCTGCTATGTTTATAACATTTGCCATGCCCTCACCTAGAAACCTACAATGATGAACTTCTCCACGATGGGCATCAGAGATTTAAACAACACTGATCATCTTGAGTGTCCTGAGATGTTTGACTTCAATACCCTCAGTGGTGTTTTCTTCATTTTGGTCTTTATCTTAAGTCTTATAGCCAATGTTCTCCTTGTATGTGTTGTTGTCATCTATGAGAAGGTGAAAAATGTCACAAATGTCTTCATCCTAAACCTGGCATGCGCAGATTTGCTCTTCACCATCACACTTCCATTCTGGGCTGTCTATCACATGCACCACTGGGTCTTTGGTGATTTCGCCTGCAAATTCAACACTGCTGCGTACTATGTTGGTGTGTACAGTAGTGTCATTCTGCTGACTGCCATGACTGTGGATCGTTTCATAGCAGTGGTGCTGCACAACTGGCCATGCAACCCTGTAAGGAGGCAGAGGTGTGCAAAGGTTTTCTGTGCAGCTGCCTGGATCATCAGCATTGCTGCATCTGTGAGCGATGCAATCAAAGTAAAGGTGGTAGATTGGGGGAATAATGGCATTGGGTGTGAGGAGGAATCTAATGAAGCTGATGTCAACCTGGCAAATCATCTTCAAGTGTTACTGCTCTTCTTCTTCCCATTTGCCATCATAGCTTTCTGCTATTCTGCCATCCTCTGGACAGTCTTGCAGGCCTCAAACAGAAAAAGGTACAGGACTGTAGTCATGGTGTTATGTATTGTCATAGCATTTTTCATCTGCTGGGGACCTTACAATATTATGTTTTTGATTGCATCTTTTCACGAGTTGAAAGACTGTAATGCAAGAGAAAATTTCTCCATGGCCTTTGAAATTTTTCGTATCCTTGCTTTTTCTCACTGCTGTATGAACCCTCTGCTGTATATGCTCTCACAGAAGTTCAGAAGACATCTCATGCAACTTTTACGCTGCAACAAACCCACAAGGTATATCACCAAGCGAGGCAATGGCCGGAGCACTTCTATCTTTCAAAACTTAGCCTTTAGAACACAAAGCTCTACAGTTATGTCTGAAGTGCCGTCCAATTAGACATTCAGCTTTGTATAACGTATTCACGTGGTTCAGAAAGTTTGTGTTTATGTAACGTTAGTTTGATTTAAAAAATGATTTTGCACATTTCCATTAAGAATCTATGGCTCTGTTTCAATTTAAAGTTTTTAATGTGGTAAGTTAATGACAAATATGTATAGTCAAAATGAAAAGCATTTTGTGTGTATAATTGTATGTGGCAAAGCTGTCACCCTTTAACATACTTTGCCCTTTCAACTGAACTTTGCTTTGTTGTTACTTTGATATTTGAATAAAGTGGAATCTAATTTCATTAGCTTTCACTTCTTTTTTACAACAATATTTGGTGACATGCAGGAATATGGTGGATATAAAATGTTGTTGAAGTACTTTTTCTGGGAAGAGTCCAAGACAGAGTTAATGATTTAGTAAATTTTATTATTTCTATTATTATTATTATTATTATTATTATTTCATCATTTGACACTGATGGACACTTTACATAGAAGTCTCTGTCATCAGTGTGAGTGAATGGGTGTGAATGGTTAAGTGTGATTTGAGAAGTCAGAAGACTAGAAAAGAGTTATACAAGCCACACAAGTCCATTTACCATTTGCATATGTTTCATGCACATATTTTCAAAATATATCCATGAAAAATGCTCTTAATACATAGAATACACAGCTTGAGTTTAAACAAAAAAACAACAACAACAGGGGTTGTTTTTCATTTTTACTAAGTCTCTGAGCTTGTAAATAGCATTTAAAATTATATAATTAAATGTCAATATCTAATTGGGTCCATTAATCCAGAAACTTACATGATATGAGGCTTATTCTATTTTCCATGTTATTTGTGCAATCGTTTTGGGCTTTTATTTTGAAAGCAAGTTATCCCACTTACCTGGTAATATTTACAGTCTATGTTACCTGGCCGTAAAACCGGATATGGGAAAACTGTTTGTGTCTGCATTTATTCGAGACTGTGGTAGGTTAGGCTACTTTATGCTCCTCTGTCAAACTCTTAAACCAAGCTGGAGGATTAAGAAGGTATGAACTCGGTTATCTTTGAGACTTTTAACACATTTAATCATTTGAGTGTAATGTATTGGATCATTTTAGTTGTCATTAGATTTTCCTAGGCTTTGGGGTTTGAAGCCTGTAGTAGCCTACATGTATGCTACCACTGTAGCATAGCTATTTGACTCAAACTTCTTCAAAACGGATGCTTGTCTGAAATCTTGACTTCAATTTAAAGTTTGGTTAGCCTACTTATATAAGCTTCAGCCTTACATGCTAACAACTGCATCTTAAGTTAGAGTAGACAAACCAGGTGTTAAATCCAGACATGAGCCTTTGAAGAAATCTAAGCTACAGATAGAGGGACCTGCTTTGCAAACTTACTGTTGATAGGACCATGACTTATAGGGGAGAAATGAGGCAGTCAATATGACACAAGAACAGACAGAAAAGTTTTACAATGTAGAACAACACAGGAAACATGTCTGAAACTTCATTGATTTTGTTGCTTTTTCTGAGTCATTTTGGTCAGAAACAGCCCTCTTACACTTCTGGATTTCTTGATTATGCAAAAGGGGATCGAGTCTAGCCTACGTCATGTGTACGATGCATTCCTGTGCTTGTGCATGATCTACTACTATACCCAGCTCTTCAAACCGTGTCAGGGCCAAGGCGCACTCACACAAGTCAGATGCACTGGGGGACTTAGGGGGTCAAACATGCTTGAGCATGGTACAGATTGCCTAGTGTGAGTGCGCCCTCTGGTATGCCCATTTTACTTCCACACCATTCTCTTATACACACACACACACACACACACACACACACACACACACACACACACACACACACACACACACACACACACACACTTGCACCTTTAGTCTCTTACTACACACAGCGACTGGTCCTGCCCCATGTTGTTCTGTAGGTTTATTTTGTGAGTTTATGACATTATTCATCAGCAGTAAGTTTAATAAAAACACTCAGATTACTCCGGTTTAAAAGGTTTAACTTTATATTCTCTTATAACAACAGGTCATACATGTATGGAGTATTATTTATGATGCAGTGTATTGCAATCATCATCCTTCACTAAAAGAGCAGGATATCATCTGAAGCAAGCAGCTGCAGAGAAATATTAAAACAATGGCATAAGCTCCGGTTTAAACACAACACGTTGCACCTCAATGGGGGCATTTACGTACTAGCAGACCCCTCCCTCTCTCTCTCTCTCTCTCTCTCTCTCACAGATGATGATCTCCAGGTTCCATAGGCCTATAAGGAAACCTAATTCCTATTTCATTGGTATTTTAAACAAAAACCACTAGAGATCAAAGCCTTTAAACAAATGTTTTGTGATCAATTACAAATTCTTATCTTATGATGATTTAAGAGTGAAAACTATTGTTTCTCATATATGACTATTTAGCAGTAGTTCTTTGTATTGACTGTGGGTGTCTCTACGTCTTCAGCTCAGGTATACATTTTAGGAAGTCACTGACTGGGTCAGATCCCGGATGATGTTGTCATCATAATCTGTGTGTTTTTGATGGATTTCACTGCTGGATGCAAGTATAAAGGCTTTTAAAAAGAAGTATTTTTATTGCAATCTGCTCAGGCTGCTGGTCGTCTTTTAATGTTGATTAGAAATTGTATTGAAGTGTATCAGCCAGGTCACTCCAGGATCAAGCGTCTTTGTAGCTAAGTTCTAAACTGATCTCATTTAATAGATGGTTTGTGTAAAATGTTCTTTTTTGTGCCTTGCCCAAAAGGGCACTGTATCACCCTTTCACTGTCTATGCATAAATAACTGCGGTCGAAGCTACTGCCCCCCAGCTTCTGTTCTCATGGCTTCTTAATTTTTAGCTGAAAAGCAAAGTACAAGTAACCACCATGCAGAAAATAACTAAGCGCTAAAGCTATGACGGAAATGACTTTGCAGTAATGTTCATGCTCAAACTGTAAAACTGTTGCTGCAATTCTGACTTAATGTGAAACAAAAAGAGGAACAATGAGCTATCTCTTTATTTGGTTGGCTTGTTCTCCACACTTCAATTCAGCATAAGACGTGGCAACTGATGTTCAGGGAAAGGTTCTTACTCTTCTTATTAAAAGGTAAACAACCTTTTATTTAGTTTTTCTCCATTTTTTTAATATCTCTCAATGTTTATTTTATTGCAAACTACTAATAGGTTGATCTCTGTAATCTGCTATGTTTATAACATTTGCCATGCCCTCACCTAGAAACCTACAATGATGAACGTCTCCACGATGGGCATCAGAGATTTAAACAACACTGATCATCTTGAGTGTCCTGAGATGTTTGACTTCAATACCCTCAGTGGTGTTTTCTTCATTTTGGTCTTTATCTTAAGTCTTATAGCCAATGTTCTCCTTGTATGTGTTGTTGTCATCTATGAGAAGGTGAAAAATGTCACAAATGTCTTCATCCTAAACCTGGCATGCGCAGATTTGCTCTTCACCATCACACTTCCATTCTGGGCTGTCTATCACATGCACCACTGGGTCTTTGGTGATTTCGCCTGCAAATTCAACACTGCTGCGTACTATGTTGGTGTGTACAGTAGTGTCATTCTGCTGACTGCCATGACTGTGGATCGTTTCATAGCAGTGGTGCTGCACAACTGGCCATGCAACCCTGTAAGGAGGCAGAGGTGTGCAAAGGTTTTCTGTGCAGCTGCCTGGATCATCAGCATTGCTGCATCTGTGAGCGATGCAATCAAAGTAAAGGTGGTAGATTGGGGGAATAATGGCATTGGGTGTGAGGAGGAATCTAATGAAGCTGATGTCAACCTGGCAAATCATCTTCAAGTGTTACTGCTCTTCTTCTTCCCATTTGCCATCATAGCTTTCTGCTATTCTGCCATCCTCTGGACAGTCTTGCAGGCCTCAAACAGAAAAAGGTACAGGACTGTAGTCATGGTGTTATGTATTGTCATAGCATTTTTCATCTGCTGGGGACCTTACAATATTATGTTTTTGATTGCATCTTTTCACGAGTTGAAAGACTGTAATGCAAGAGAAAATTTCTCCATGGCCTTTGAAATTTTTCGTATCCTTGCTTTTTCTCACTGCTGTATGAACCCTCTGCTGTATATGCTCTCACAGAAGTTCAGAAGACATCTCATGCAACTTTTACGCTGCAACAAACCCACAAGGTATATCACCGAGCGAGGCAATGGCCGGAGCACTTCTATCTTTCAAAACTTAGCCTTTAGAACACAAAGCTCTACAGTTATGTCTGAAGTGCCGTCCAATTAGACATTCAGCTTTGTATAACGTATTCACGTGGTTCAGAAAGTTTGTGTTTATGTAACGTTAGTTTGATTTAAAAAATGATTTTGCACATTTCCATTAAGAATCTATGGCTCTGTTTCAATTTAAAGTTTTTAATGTGGTAAGTTAATGACAAATATGTATAGTCAAAATGAAAAGCATTTTGTGTGTATAATTGTATGTGGCAAAGCTGTTTATCATACTTTGCCCTTTCAACTGAACTTTGCTTTGTTGTTACTTTGATATTTGAATAAAGTGGAATCTAATTTCATTAGCTTTCACTTCTTTTTTACAACAATATTTGGTGACATGCAGGAATATGGTGGATATAAAATGTTGTTGAAGTACTTTTTCTGGGAAGAGTCCAAGACAGAGTTAATGATTTAGTAAATTTTATTATTTTTATTATTATTATTATTATTATTATTATTTCATCATTTGACACTGATGGACACTTTACATAGAAGTCTCTGTCATCAGTGTGAGTGAATGGGTGTGAATGGTTAAGTGTGATTTGCATTGTAAAAAAGTGCTTTGAGAAGTCAGAAGACTAGAAAAGAGTTATACAAGCCACACAAGTCCATTTACCATTTGCATATGTTTCATGCACATATTTTCAAAATATATCCATGAAAAATGCTCTTAATACATAGAATACACAGCTTGAGTTTAAACAAAAAAACAACAACAACAGGGGTTGTTTTTCATTTTTACTAAGTCTCTGAGCTTGTAAATAGCATTTAGAATTATATAATTAAATGTCAATATCTAATTGGGTCCATTAATCCAGAAACTTACATGATATGAGGCTTATTCTATTTTCCATGTTATTTGTGCAATCGTTTTGGGCTTTTATTTTGAAAGCAAGTTATCCCACTTACCTGGTAATATTTACAGTCTATGTTACCTGGCCGTAAAACCGGATATGGGAAAACTGTTTGTGTCTGCATTTATTCGAGACTGTGGTAGGTTAGGCTACTTTATGCTCCTCTGT